TATGAGTATTTAGGATCAGTTATGGGAGCAGAGGCATTGCAACTGTCCAGTTCCCCAGGAGGGAAAGGAATGCATGAATGGAACTGGAAAGATTTCATTTTCCTGTAGATTACGCTATGTAAAAGAGGTGGAAGGGACACATTTGAGAACTGCTATACTGTAACATACCATTAATTTATCTAGTGTTGTGTTACCCATTTCTGTCAAGGATTAGTACATAATAGAAAGGATTGAATGTTGTATAATATATCTAGCTCTATATACCTTCACATTTCCTGGTCACATGTATTGGAGATCTTCACACACACACCTACAGTCATACAGTGTAGGGAGAGGCGCTCGAAAGATCTCACGATGTACGAGAAGAATAGAAATAGAGGCGCACGAAAGATCTCGCAATGTGCGGAAAGCACAGGGAACTAAAGATCTCACGATGTACGGAAAGGCATATATAAAGCAATTGCGCAGTTAATAAATTGAGGAAGTACCAACCATCATATTGGTGTCTGTGCTTTTGTTCCCGCAAAGGTCTTAACCTCCTGCAAGGGTTAGCTGTGATCTGAACGCCACATTTCTGTGGATTGACAGGTAGAAAAAGACAGCTAATACCTTACCACAACACTATAACATAGCTTGAATCAAGAGCCTGAAGACTTCAGGCTCAGGCAAATACCATCACTGCATAACTAAGCATGATTCTGAACATTATTTGACATCCCATTTGTTTTGAAAAATAGTAATTTTTCTGATGCAAATCACCATTTCTTGGGCCATCATCCACACTATCATTTAACAACCACCTATGTGTCTTAAAATCTCCCTTAAAATCAGGATCTTAAAATAGATACTTCATGTGAGGATATCAGGGAGGCATCTGTCCAAAAGGCATGTTTTGTAAGACAAAATAATGAGTGAAAAAAATGGAGAAAAAAAATTATAGACTTGATCATAGGAATAAAGTAAAACAGAAAAAGAGCAAAAAAGAAAAGCCGGGTCAGCATTCTATTGTCTGAAGAGAACTTCTGACTAAAATCAAATGAACACGTCAACAATATTTGTTAGAATAGCAGTCAGGTTTATTCTAAGTATTCTAAGTAGCTAAATGCCTCACAGGAGATCCTGAGCATCCTCATTGCCCTGATTCCAGCAGAGCTGGAAGACCATAACATGATGGAAGCTTGTGCTCTGCCCTCTGATACAGTGTGCTTCTCACACACACACTGACTTGCTGATGTAGTCCCTCTTTGTGTGTTCAGTGTCATTAAACTATATCCCCACTACTACAATAAGAAATAAATAGTCAGCCTCAAAACAGAGTTCATACAAGTGGGAACAACCTCATGGAACTGTTCCCTCCAGTGCTTTTACTCTAATGCCTTTCTTAGATCAGTAACGTTGTGTTGCAGAGAACATTTCCAGGTACTGGGACTCAGTCATCCATACTGTTAAATTACCAGATTTGCCCCAGACAGAGTTTTTATCCAGATGAACTATCGCTCTTCAAGCAATTCCTGTACATGATTTGGTATTTAGCAGGAATAAGTTTAAAGGCAGTCACTGTGTTTTGAATAGTAAAATAGGTTAACATCATGGACCAAGACACAGGCCATTCTACCACTTGGCTTTAGGGCCACTGAACACTCCTAGGAACATTTGTGTCTACACTAATAAAGAGTTACAGAAGAATGCATGAATAGGCTAAACTAGATTAGACTAGACTATTTCTGCTAGAAGGGATTTACAACAATCATCTAGTCCAACTGCCTAATTCAGGGCTGACCAAAAGTTAAAACGTTATTAGGGCCATTGTCCAAACACATCTTAAACACTGACAGGCTTGGGTCATTGACCACCCATCTAGAAAGCCTCTTCCAGTGTTTGACGATCCTCTCTGTAAAGAAATTTTTCCTGATGTACACTGGCACATCTTTGAATCATTCTTCCTATGTGTCCTATCACTGGATACCATCAGAAAGAAGAGATCATCACCTCCTTCTCTGCGTCCTCTCCTCAGGAAGCTGCAGAGAGCAATGAGATCTTCCCAAGAGAAGTGAATCTATAAAGAGAAACAGTTGGTGAGGATTGAATGTTCACACCAAGCCCTTCAAAATTCATAGACTATGAACAAGCTCCAGTTTCATTGACTGAACAAGCCTTTACTGTGAGAATGTGTTACACGCACTCTGGGAACATCTCCTCTGGGTTAGTTTAATTTGAACAGTTTGTACACCCCAGGATTATTCCTCAGTGCAAACCAAAGTGTGGTTATAGCAGTTGGCTGGGGGGGTTTCTTCAAAAACACACTCCTGATTCAACCTGAAATATGATGCAGGCACACTTTAAATTTACCAGTATAAACAGCATACAAATACTAACCACTAGAAAAAGAGAAAAAAGAAAAATAATTTTCTCATTTCCTATATATGGGCAATATATTTGCATTCTAATTTCTGTACTTACAGATATTATGCTAATCAAGAAATGATTGGGTATATCAGGTGGTCCCTCAAGATTATATAATGTTGCTTGATTTCCTGCTAACAGGAGGATCCCTCTGTAGAAACCATAGCAGAAAAACAATGATTGCCATATTTACACAATACTGCTTTGTATTGTGCTACCAGGGGTGGAAGCACAGCCCCACTATATATCATGGACTAATTCAAACTGCTTTTGTTTTACCTACAAGGTTTAAAGTTTTTTTTTTTTTTTTTTTTTTTTTTTTTATCTTATTTTCTTATTTCCCCTCTTTGCCCGGTTGAGAAAAAAGGGAGAAGAGGGGGAATTGATAGAGCAACGTGGTAGGTACCTGGCATTTAACCAAGGTCAAACCACCATATATTGTTTGACCAACAATCAGATTCTCAATTTTTGTTTAAAAATAATTGTAATAAGAATCTAGCCTACAGTCAATCAATTAAAAAAATAGTATTCTTGAGATAAATATCAGTGTTTTAACTAACCTAGCAGTGGGAACTATAGTATAAAATCAAAATAAATTGTCAGTTCAGTTAAGCTGAACCTTAACTTTGTAGTATAATGTTATCACAGATTACTTCTTTTGCTAGATTTATAAATAGAACATACTGAAATATTCCTGTGGAACATGATATGTAAATTAAGACACAAGTAGGTGTCATCAAATTTAAAAAAAAAAAAAAGTTCAGTTATACTGAAATAGGACAAAATATTTTGCTAAAATCATCAGGACATATTACTCTGTATAGACAAATAAAAGACAGTCAGAAAAGTTTACATCAGGGACTTCTGATCCTACAAACTTTACTTATTAAGCTAGGTAGTAGAAAGTTTTTACTGAGTTTTGATAGACTTAGTTGTATTCTAAATGCATACCTAATACAGATAATGTTAAGAACTTTCAAGAAATGTAAGAAAACAAGATACGATATGCTATTCTATTAGAAATTGTGCAAAAGGCATTACTGCAGTCAAAAATTTTAAAGTCTAGATTTACTTCATTCTTATAGTTAGTAAGTACTGAAGTTACCAGTTTAAACTTGAATGGTTTGAAGACTTGTTTTATACCTCTTGAAATACTTTTTGGAGGGTATTTGTTCCTTCACTTGAGACAAAGTTGTAGATAATATTATGAATATACTCATTTTAACTGGTATTTGTATGAAATAATTCCCTGAATTTCTAATTCTTGCCTTCTTCCAAACTCTCCCAAGGCTTTATAAACCCTTTTTGTTCTTATCTGAAACTTTTACAAAGCTCTGTGATCACTAGAAATAAGCATTAGGCCCATACTCTGGTTATTCCATCCCTTGTATGTGACCCCCTTCTATTGCATATACAAAATACAGGAAGACTGCCTTCCTGGTGGTTAGTGGGTGATTCTTCCTCAGATTGCTTCTGCAGTAAAAAAAGAACACTGAACTTTAGGGAACAGGGCCTTTTGCCTGTTCTTCAATTTTACGTTGTTTGCACCCTTTCTCACTCCAGCTACTGCACTAAATCCATATTTTCTGAGAAGGTTACAAATGCAGTCCATGCTATATATTATGGATTAGATACCATATATAAAGAAAGGATGACTGAATGTCTTTTTCTTATCAAATTATTAGATAGTTAAAGAAAATCCCCTAGGCACTATTATTAAATATAGATGTACTCTGTCATTCCATCATATCTGAACTCATTTCTCAATTATAGATTTAGCATCATTTTTGCTGCATTGTTTTACAGACTTTTTGTTCTTACGCATCTTTTGTTACTCAAGCAGTGTTGGTGCTTTTAGAAATGGCAGCAAATAAAAACATGTAAAATGCAATTTCTCATAGATAAAACTGAAATAAATTTTCATTACTTAGGGTTTATTCTAGTGTAATTGACATCTGATTCTCCCATGCAGTCTTTAGCATTCATAAAACACATCACAGGAAGGTCCCTGATGAAGCTGAAGGAGAAGTTTTCTCTGCACTGATATTCTCTAGGAAGTCTCAGATGGACAGTCCATCATGCTGTGTGCACCTATTGAGATGTATATAAGTCAAGTGTTTGCAATCCCTTGCTTTTCTTACCAGCTCTCTTCAATTCTTTCTTTTCTATTCACTTGGCTGGTTTTGTAGTTTAGGAGTTATTTACTCCTATCAGATGTAACAACAGAGATCTCACTTTCAAAACCATATTGTGATATGCACTATTATAGCAGAAAAGAGGAATTGAAGATGTTTATTGTTAATTTAAAATCTTCCCTTTTGTCATCTGTTCACCTCAACGTTTACTTGGGCAATGAAATAATAATTGCTTTCTAATTTCTGTCAAAAATTCCCTCACAAATCACCTGGAGTTGTCACTATTTTAAAAGCAATGTCTGACATGATAAATATTGTCTTATTTGTTTTATCTAAAATTCCAGAGATTCTATTTTAATTTCAGAAGTAATTCAATAGTTTATTAGCAGATTACATTACTGTTAAATTTACAGATTACCACTTGCAGTTGTTCTGCAGTTTTTTCTCAGGGTTAAGCAGATCAGTAGGAAAATATCACATTTTAATTAAATCTAATAATATAGAAAAACTGTGTGTTTGTGTTTTTTTCTTAAGTTTCAACATAATTATATCTTGATACTTATTTAGTAAGTTGCTCATGCAATAAATCAGTTTACTTCATTTTAAATGGCAAGTTGTATTGCACATCGTATGTGGAATTGTGCAAGTACTTTGAGAGACCCAAAACTGTTTACAAGAAATTTTAACATTTTAAAGTGATCGCAGACTTAGTTCTTAAAGAGATTGCAGTAGAAGCTTTGCTGGAGAAAACTAACAGCATAGCTCCCAAACAGGTCTGTGAACAGGAACTTGGAAGTGAGCATAGACTTTCCAAACCATCTTGCCAGCATTTGTAAGAAGGCCTCTTCATTCTTCAGAACCTTATTATTGGGCTATACATCTTAGATATAGCAGACTATTAGGCTATGCAGCCAATCATCCCAAAGATTATGTCCTGTTTGATCCTGTTCTGACTCCAAAGATAGCCTAAGATTAAGTTATAGAGATCCTCTACAGTTTTGTCATTCATGATGCACTGATACTCCCATTCACATCTTATTTCACACTCTATTGTAATACAATAGCTATTTCCATAATACAGGGCAACAGAATCTCCAGTACTTTAGGACAGGGAAATGTCAGGAAGTCCTGTACTTTCAGAAGCATTCACATACAGATATTAGAGTGAAACACATTTTGAATCTCTTTTTTTTTGTTCCAGTTCCTCCCTGATAAATTTTGGTTTAACAACTAAATTAATTCAGTTACCACAAAACCAGTCTAATTCCTGTAATTCTTCACCACAGCTGAATTCTTTTATCTTGAACACAAATCTTTTTCATTCATGTGATCTTCTGTTTGGATATGACAATTCCCTCTAACGTGTTGCAGTGATCGTAAGTGGGAGACCATTGTACATTTGAGGAGTTATGAACCACCCAGGAGTTAACCTGAGTATCTCTAGGCCTGTGCTGGGCTGCACTGCCCCTGGAGCTCAGCCTGTGTTGTGTAGTCCATAGTCCCTGTCTGCAGGATGATCCTGCAGGTAGCTTTCACTTGGTACAGGTGATTACACCACCTGCGCGTCCTTGCTTTTGTCTAAAAGTGCAGCAAGAAGTTCTTATATGAACATCCTTTCTGTTTGACAGAAGAAGTAATGAAGAGTGTTGTTTTCTTGTAAGAAAATGCTATAATAGCTCAAATGATCAAAATGGGGTAACCCTTTCCATGGATGGAGTCTGCATCGTGTGCTGTGCCCTGATAGTGAGACCATTTTATGTTGTATAACTCAGGGTTCCCAGGACCTAAAGAGATCTAAAATTACCTATACTATTCTCTCTTTGTAGTGCTAACTCAAAAAACTACCATTTGAAATGATTATTTGCAGAGTTTGAATGCTTGTCTTACTGGGATCATAAGGAACCAAGCACCTTGTGGTCCAAAATATATGTCCAGAATATGCTACTATTCCACAGTAATCACAAGGTGCAGGAAACTTGAAAGGCTTCTTAGCTGCCAGCTTCATACAAAAAATCTTGAGTATAATTCCTGCAGGCATTTATGGATGTTATCTCAATATTCCCAGACAACTCATACCTGCTGCTTGTTTGAAAATGATAACTTATTTGCTCAATAGATGTCAGTGAAAATTGTAGAGAAAAAAAATATATATTAAATACACTTTTATGTTTTTGCATTGTAGTTTGCATGTTGTTTGTATTGTATTGATGGATTCATCTAATATTAAGAAGCAATGGGAAATACTTAATTTAAATGATTGTGAGGTTTACTGTACTTAATTTCTCATAAAACTGAGCCATTATATGCAGAAAATGATAGATATTTTCCCTTCACATTTCTGTCCCCAGCCATTTCTACAGGCTCTTTATTGATTGCACTTAACACAGGGTAAAAGGAGCGTGCAGTGGCATAAGCTACTGCCCAGTTGTGCTGCCAAGCACGTCCTATTTACGTCACATTGGAAGCTTGGAAGGCAAGAAGGTGGTGATTTGTCAGAACCACAACTTTTCAAAGTGATAACTCTTTTTCAATAAATCCTTCAGCAGAACAAAGGGCACATGTTTTTTCCTGCCAGCTCATCTGCATGGTTCATAATTGCCTAAGTGAACACAAATATATGGGTTACAAGGATTCCAGATTATTGGAATTTTTCAAAAGCATAATATTGGGTTGAGAGAGACAAAGAATGTTTGCTCTTGGTCTAATCTGGGATGGAAAAATGAAATTAAATATTGAGTCTTTTCTATTATTTCAATTAGAAGTAAACATTATTCCTCCTGGAGAATGGGTAAAGGAAATTCCCCATTCTTAAACTTTTAAATTTCACATTTTGCAGGCTCACTTTTATAATCAGATTCTTCAGAAGATCCCTTTCTATCCACATTTTTGTGTTTTCTCTCTCCTTTATTAAATTACAACCATTTTCCTACCTTCTCTCTAGAACTCAAGTTTCCAGGGTAACCTCCTTTTCTCTCAAGCTTCTTCACTTAGGAGAAACAGAGGTTATTAGCTGATAGTTCCTGTATGTTCAGGTAAAAACAGGACATCTTCAGATAATTGCTTTACTTTCACTATCCACACAGCCGAAACAAATAAAAAGCCCTCCCAAATATACATGCATTATATTCATAAAATATCTCACTCAAACATGATTTAGACAGAAACAGAGCATTCTGTTCACAAATTCTAGGTTATTTCCTAGACCCATAGTTTGACGGGATTAAGAGTTTTCAACATCATTGGTAGTAGAGGTCCTCAGAAAGACTTGAAGTCTATCAAAAATTATTTATTGTAAAATTCTGCTTCCAGTCTTCTATGCATGTGTTTCTGTGTGTTTTCAATTAAAGATGACTTGTTGATTCCTTCAGGTTTACTCTTACAGTGCATGTAGAATGTTGTGATGGTTTGACTCTGGCTAAATGCCAGGTATCCACCAAGTCGCTCCATCACTTCCCCCCCCCCCTCCCCTTTCCCCTTGTTTTCTCAACAGGGCAAAGAGGGGAAAGAAGATAAACCAACCCTTGTGGGTGAAACAAAAGCAGTTTTAATAGAAGCAAAGCGAAGCAAAGGTCCGCGCATGGAAGCAAAAGCAAACAGATTTATTCTCTACTTCCCATGGACAGGCGATGTCAGCTCTTCTCAGGAAGCAGGGCTCCCATACCTAGTTGCCTCGGAGGACCAAGGGTGACCCCCCCCCCTTCCTCCTTTCTCCCAGCTTTATACTGAGCAGACGTCATATGGTATGGAATATCCCTTTGGTCAGTTTGGGTCAGCTGTCCTGGCTGTGTCCCCTCCCAAGATCTTGCCCACCCCGTCCCACTGAGGGGGGAAAATGTTGGAAAGAGCCTTGGTGCTGTGTAAGCACTGCTCAGCAGTAGCCACAACACCAGGGTGCTATCAACACCCTGCCAGCTCCCAGCATAAAACACAGCACCGTGAGGGCTGCTGTAGGGGAAAACCAATTCCAGTTCAGCCAGACCCAGTACAAATGTAAAGAAATACACATTCTAATTTTAAACAACTAAAAATGAAGAACATACTAAACATTAAATATACAGCATTAGTAAAACTATTGTTTAGAAAATTCTATGATGAATACAACTGTAGAATATTGAGTTTAAACTGAATTTAGCCTATAAGAAACATTTTCATAGGGTAGAAATCATTCTTAGATTGAAATAACAGAGGCAGAAAGAACAGAGCAGTACTAAACAACAGGACTAAAAGGAACATCGTGTCCCACCATAAAAATTCATGACTGTGACAAGAAACTGAAAATCTCCTCTTCTTTGTTCATGAATTTGTGCCCAGGAATTAGGTCAGAAGACAGCTGGATTATTTATTTATGTATTTCTCTAGAAAGATTTTATCACATTATCGGAAATGCATGGAATTTCTAGCAGCCTTGAGAAAAAAGCCACTATCACATTTCCAGATCAGTGATTTAAAAAGTGAAAGTGTGCAGACCCTGAACATATGTACTGGTTTTGGCTGGAATAGATTAATTTTCTTCACAGTAGCTAGTATGGGGCTATGCTTTGGGTTTGTACCGTAAACAGTGTTGATAATACAAGGATGTCTTCATTACAGCTGATCAGTGCTCACACACAGCCAAGGCCTTTTCTGCTTCTCACAGTGCAGCACCAGTGAGGAGGCTGGAGGTGCACAAGAAGTTGGGAGGGGGCACAACTGGGACAGCTGACCCCAAATGACCAAAGGGATATCCCAGAACATATGATGTCATGCTCATCATGTAAAGCTGGGGAAGAAGAAGGAAGGGGAGGATGTTCAGAGTGATGGCGTTTGCCCTCCTGAGTAACCATTACACATGATGGAGCCCTGCTTTCCTGGAGATGGTCAAACACCTGCCCGTCGATGGGAAGTGATTAATGTATTCCTTGTTTTGCTTCACTTGTGCAAGCGGCTTTTGCTTTACCTGTTAAACTTTTTTATCTCAACCCTTGAGTTTCCTCACTTTTACTTTTCTGGTTCTCTCCCCCATCCCGCCATGCTGGGGGCATCACCAAGTGTCTCCGTGGGGCTTAGCTGGCAGCTGGGGTTAAACCATGGCAGCACACAGTGTTGTATATATGTAAGGATTTGCATACAAAGGAATTTGCAAAAAGAAATAATAATTTCATAATTCAGTTTTCAAATTTTATATCATAATCCATTCCACACTATCAGTTACAAAAATTATTTATTAAAATTGTAATCGTTTTAAATTGACTATTACCTGCACTGAAAATCCTTGTGTTTCAATCAAAAATATGTCTGAGTTATTTCAACAGTTGATTCTTGGAATCCAGAGGAATTTTCTCTCTTTTCATATAATGATTGAGGCAAATATAATAAAAGTTATTAAAGTGGCAAATTATAATAATCTTCAATGCCAGCATAGGTTGTACATTTTCCAAAGAATTAATTATTTCCCATTTGTTAAAGCATTTCCTTTTTTACCTACTGTGAAATTCCTGAATGTGCTTTTGAACAGTCTTTGAAAGCGTCAGACAGTCACAGAAGCTCCATTCAGAGCCTCGGCATTTCTTATTGAAAGCACACAGCTTTTCTTCAGGCAGTCTAGGCTACACCCTCCCAACACATGCCTCTCCATCACCCCAACAAGGCAGATCACTCTGGGCTTAGTTTTCATTGATCTAGATTTCACTGAAACTCTTGTCCTAAAACTACGACACTGGCTCTCAAAATGTTCTATTGTATATTTGGCAAGGGTAAAATATAAATGCTAAGTGAAGTCTTCCTTAACACATTACTTGAGAAAGAAAAGAGAAAGCACAACCCCAGTTCAAATATTTCCCGGTTCCCCCTGGGCATTCAGTGCACCTGTCTTGTCCAGCTGCTGTAGAAACACCTGAGCTGGTGCAGTAGTTTGGGCTCAGAAGCAGCACATCCTTTTTCGTATGTACTGCATGACTTTACCAGCCCAAACTGGTGCAACCTAAGAAATTCTGAGCACCAGTTATACATTAAAGTTCCTTCTCTCCAGTAGAGTAAAAGTTTAACAGGTATTTGTAATAACATTTCACAATTTGTTATAACATCTCACAATGTTAGTTACACCATAGCCAAAAATAAGACCCATGTTCTAAACTGGTCACAGTCACTGCATGGAAGAAAAATATTATTTCACATTGGCCAAGAGCTCAATAAAAAATACATTTCAAAAAAACCTATTCTCAAATACATGTGCGACTGGGTATTCCACATAACTGTGAGCTTCATTCCACCGAGTAATGACTCACCTAGAATTACATGCTGTTCATATAAGAGAAACTTTTGCCTTCAAAAGAACCAAGCTGTTAAAGTGTGCCACCAAGGAAAACTTTAATTCCAGAATAGCGATTTTTCAGTACAGCTGCAGACTGAGACAAAAATGTAAAATTAAAGAAGGCTTGCACTGCCTGTATTATGAATGCTTTCAAGTGAAAAATAAAGGATTTATGACATAAGAACATGGAATGCAGAGGTTATGAAAAGGAAAATTTTCTTTATAAGTCTGACATCAGGATTCTATTTCAGTGCTATTACTCCCTACAACTGAAGAGCTAGATCATAAGCCACACATCTTTAGATGCTGATTAGCCAGTGGAAAATGAAGGCCATAGTAAGGGTCTGTAGTTCACCTCCCATAGTTGCCTCCCTGCAGGTGAGAAGACAGCATGTTTGCAAGCTCCAGTGTTCAGACAAGGATATATTTTGTCTTTGTACCAATTCGGTGACTGTAAGGTGCACAGGAATTATGTAAAGGCAGAACTACTGATGTTATTGACTACCTCCTTAAGGCCATATTTATCTCTGATTCTGAGCCAGTCTTTTGACCAGCAGTCAATAAGTTGAGAAAGATGTGTAAATTGAAGTCGACTAAATTCCATTCATAACCACCACAGTCAGGGATATAATGAAGTCTTTCTAAAACCCTTGTTAATTTTTCCCATAGTTAAAGCCAAGAGTTGTCATGGGGACCTCACGAAAGATTTTTTCAAGTCAGTTTCAGAAGTTATTAGCTATCAGCTGAAATCCCCATTTCTCTAACTTAAATTTAAGCCATTAAATCATACCACTATCAATTGAAAAAGATGAGAAAAATAACCCCCTCTAAAGAAGAAGCACATTCTTACATTATCATTCATTTACATCCTTGCACATAAACCTCCCAAACTAAAGAGAACCAAGAATATTGGGGAAGGCAGAGCTATAACTTCTTACTCTGCAAGGGAAGCTTTAACTCAGAAAGCATGGCACTGAAATCTACTTTCTTTTTAATATGTACAATTGCGTTTCCTTGCTCTAAAGGTTTACAGGCTCAAATCTATGTTCCATAGTCAATGGGAAAAAAAACCTCACAAAGTATCACAGCTGGGAGAAAATATAAAAACTCATTTTTATTTAATATTATATGAATCTTTTCAAGTATCTTTTTTTCCTAATTTTTTTCATTTTTTCATTTTGTTCATCTAATCTACACAAGTTATAAAATATTGAGAAAAAAACCCCACAATTTTCCAAAGAAGAATTAAGACACTTGCATCATTTGTTACAGGTACTTCATACTGTATTTCTATAGATGTGATAAGGTAAGGAGGGATTTAAGAGCTAGTTTCCATGTTTGTATTGAATCATCTCACCAGCTGATAATTTAGCTGTTTTTTCTGTGTATTAAAATCAGTTCAAATAACTCACTGTTTTCTTTCTGCTTTCTGTGTAGGTACACAGGACAAATGGAACAACCACTTGGTTGGTTTTGGGTTTTCTGTACTAGTGAGGCAGAAATGGGCAGCTCATCAATGCAGAAAATTAGGGAAGGAAACATCCTGATGGATGCAGAAGAAATGCCAGAGGCAAGCAACAAGGCTGGCCAGAGGATACTGGAGATATTGATGGTGACACGTCAGGAACCATTAAGCAGATAGAAAGACAGGAAAGCAGAGTCCAGTAGTTCACAAAAATATGCAGAATCATTTCAATCCTGAAATCATAAACACTTGAGGGGGTTTAAGGTAATAC